GACTCACTTGAACCCAGGAGTTGGAGGTTGCTGTGAGCTGTGATGCCACGGCACTCTACCCAGGGGGATAGCTTGAGGCTCCGTCTCAAAAAAAAAAAAAAAAGGAGAGTGTTGATAAAAGTAGAGGGGTGAGAGTAAGAGGTAATATTGACAAAAAGTAGAGGGGTGAGAGTAAGAGGTAATATTGACAAAAAGAAGAGAGGCACAGAAAGAGGGAACAGGAACAATATAGATGTACAGTAGAGTACTTTGACCCAACCTTAGAAACCCCCAACCTCTGGGGATGCCAGGTTGGGTGGTTCCCTTGAGGTCAGCAGCACTTTGCTAGCCTGTTCAGACATAGTACACCACCTCCACCAAGTAGAGAGGAAAGACAAAAATGCTATAAATCAAACCAAACCAAGCAAACAGAAAACTTTATGGGATAAAATTGGGGGAAAAGCCAAATAATAGGGGTAGAAACACTAGCAAAAATGAAGTTCGGATTGTTAAAGAAGGCAAAATGGAAAATTATATTAAAACTAGAAAAATGAAGAAAGAAAAGAAAAAAAACCAAGAAAAATCTAGGGGGAAAATGTTGAAATTAAAAAAACAAAAACAAGAAAAAAAAACAGGGCAGCGCCTGTGGCTCAAAGGAGTAGGGTGCTGACCCCATATGCTGGAGGTGGTAGGTTCAAACCTAGCCCCAGCCAAAAATTGCAAAAAACAAAACAAAACAAAAGCAGTATATATATCTTGCTGAATATTGTCTGGGCAACAGGTGGTCTTCTGGGGTATGAGATGTTAATCACAGTGCTGATACAGCTATATGAGATGGAGGCCTCCTGCTGGCTGGTGACTGTAGCCATTGTTGGGTGTCTTTGGAGACCAATTGTTGTTTGAATTGACTTGTTTTAATAGGTAGTGTTTTGATTTATTTATCTATAATAAACTTTTAATTTTTTTTTTTTTTTTTCAGTTTTTGGCCAGGGCCAGGTTTGAACCTGCCACCCTGGTATATGGGGCTGGTGCCCTACTCCTTTGAGCCACAGGCGCCACCCTTAATTTTATTTTATCTTTTTATTATTATTTTTTTTGAGACAGAATCTCACTATGTCGCCCTCGGTAGAGTGCTGTGGTGTCACAGCTCACAGCAACCTCAAACTCGTGGGCTTAACCAATTCTCTTGCCTCAGCCTCCCAGTAGCTGGGACTACAGGTACCCACCATAACGCCTGCCTATTTTTGTTGTTGTTGGTGCAGTTGTCATTGTTTTAGCTGGCCTGGGCCAGGTTTGAACCCACTAGCCCCAGTGTATGTGGCTGGTGCCATAACCACTGAGTACGGGTGCTGAGCCAAACTTTTAATTTTAAAACAGATTTACAGAATTGCAAAGACAGCACAGAGAATGCCCGGATGTCCTGTCCATGGCAGTGTCTTCACATCCACTACAAATAACAGTACGGCACACTATTAAAGTCCATGCTTTATTCACATTTCTTTAGTTTTTACTTACTGTTGTTTTTCTGCCCCAGGACTCTTTCAGGATACCACATTACATTTACGGTTGTTATTGTTGTTTTTGAGATAGTCTTGCTCTGTCACCCAGGCTGGGGTGGTGTGATCACAGCTCACAGCAGCCTTGACTCCTGGGCTCCAGCAACGTCCTGCCAACCGAGCTTTGTGGACCACAGGTGCCCTCCACCCCACCCAGCCAGTGCATTACATTTAAATGTTTTGTCTTTTCAGGCTCTTCTTGCCTGTGACAGGTTCTCAGACTCTCCTTGTTCTTGTTGACCGGGACTATTTGGAGGAGGGCTGGTCGAGTGTTTAGTAGAATGTCTCTCAAGTGACATCGGGTGTTGGGAAGTGTGAGTACTCCCACTTTTTTCTTCTTTTTCTTTTTCTTTTTTTTTTTGAGACAGTCTCAAGCTGTCACCCTGGGTAGAGTGCTGTGGCATCACAGCTCACAGCAACCTCAAACTCTTGGGCTTAAGTGATTCTCTTGCCTCTACCTCCCCAAGTAGCTGGGACTACAGGCGCCTGCCACAAAGCCTGGCAATTTTTTGGTTGTGGTTGTCATTGTTATTTGGCGGGTCTGGCCTGGATTTGAACCCACCAGCTCTGGTGTATGTGGCTGGCGGCTTGAGCTACAGGTACCACCTTTTCTTCTTTTTCAAAGTTGCTTAAATTATCTGGGTCTCTTGAATTTCCAAATGAACACTAGGATCACCTTTTCTACTTCTGTAAAAAAAGCAGGCAAAATTTTAATAGGATTTACACAGAATCTGTAGGTCTCTGTTAGGAGTGTTGTTGCCCAGAGAATATTAACTCTTCGTATTTATTCGGGCCTTTGATTTCTGTGAACAGTGTTTTATAGTTTTCAGAGTTTAAGTTTTGAGCTTTGTTGAATTTATTTCCAGGTATTTTGTTCATTTTGATGCTGTTACAGAGGAACTGTTTTCTTAATTTCTTTGTGCACTGCTTATTGCCAGTGTCAAGAACACAACTTATCTTTGTGTGTCGAGCTGTGTCCTGCAACCTTGCTGGCCTTGCTGATCAGCACTGATAGTCTGGGGGTGGGAGGGGCTGGGAGGATTTTTTTTAGGATTTTCTATATTCAAGATCGTGTCATCTACAGAGAAAAGTTTTACCTCCGTTCCAACCTGGATGCCTTCTGTATCCTGTTCTCGTCTAACTGCCCTGTCTGGAGCCTCCAGTATGTTGGTGCACCTGGCCAGGGAGGACATGCCTGCCTTGTTCCTCATCTCAGCCTTTCCCCATTGAGTGTGATGTTAGCTATGGAATTTTCATGGGTACCCCTATCAGGAGGAGGAAGTTCTGTTGTATTCCTGGTTTGCTGAGTGTTTTTATCATAAAAATGCTTTTTCTGTGCCAAATGAGATGATGACAGATTTTTCCCTTGATTAATATGACATGTTACATTGATGGATTTTCTTACTTTGAACAGCTTTGCATTTCTGGGATAAATCCTACTTGGTCATGGTGTGTAACCCTTTTTATATACTGCTGGATTTGGCTTCCGAAGATTTTGTCTAGGATTTTTGATCCACATTCATAAGAGATACTGTTATGTAATTTTCTAGGAACGTCTGTCTGATTTAGTCATCAGTATCAATTAGGGTTTGTGGGATGTTTTTCTCATGATTCTGGGGTCAAGGCACATCCTGTCACCACAGCTTCCCACTGGCGGTGCCAACCCTGACCCTAGCTGAGAGTGTCTGTCATTTGCACTGTCCTCCTGCTGCCCCTTCCCATGCCATGTCCTCTGGAAGGAAGTCCCTATGAGCAGCCAGAGGGGAGGGCTGGGAAGGCTGTGCTTCAGTTCTTTGAGGATGGAATGTCTACATATTATTTGGAGATTCTTTTTTTTTTTTTCTGAGATAAGGTGTCATTCCATTGCGTAGGCAGAGATATAATCACAGCTCACTGGGGCCTTGGACTTCTGGGTTCAAGTGATCCTTCTGCCTCAGCCTCCCAATTAGCTGGGACTACAGATGTGTGCTAACCACACCTGGCTAATTGGTCTCTTAACTGTGCTGCCCAGCTGCACTTGGGCGCCCTCCTCCTTGGCCTCCCAAAGTGCTGGGATTATAGTGCTAAGCCACACATCTGGCATATTGGAGATTCTCATGCAGAGGAGATTTGTCTCTTCTCCATCAGTTAGTTATTCAGTCATTTATTTTATCAGTATGGACACACAGATGTTTATTTTGTGCTTCGGGTTGTATTCCCATACAACTTTATTTAGTTTCCTGAATCATGCTGTCTATCAGGCGTTCTCCTTGGGTTCTGGTGTCCCTTTGACATGCTGCCTGGGAGTTCTTGGTTTTTGTTCTGTCCTTCTGAGTACTTCCTGACTTTGTGGCACCACTGGTGCTCCAGGCTCATCTGGGCACTCCTGCCCTGGCCCTGGAATTGCTGCTTGTCCAGGGAGCCCTGGGCCCTCTTCATGGAGAACACGACGGGACCCTGAGACTGGCCTGGTGTGCTTGGCTCCTGTGGAGTTGTGGCTCCCTGCACTCTGGGCTCATAGAGCAGGGACACCTATGTGCTGAGAGCGAACATACACACCTGTGAATGCAGCCAGTTGTAGTTGTTCCCTCTCATGCCCCGACGTCAGCCCAGGGCTGGGTCTGTCCTGCCACCAACTGCCTTCTCCCTGGGAGCCACCTCAGCCAGGGAGGGCCGTGGGGTCAGGGGTCTCAACCGGCCTCTACCAGAGTGGTGTGGTCATGGGCTTGACCTCTTGGCCTGTGTAGATGGGGCTTCCCTTGAGTTCAAAGCTGGCTGCAGGGCCTGGGCTTTGGGGCCTGAGGTTGAAAGTACGCATGGTCTGGTCTCTGCTCAGGTTTCTTCCCTCAGTAGCACAGTCACTGACAGCAGCTGTCAGACCTCACGGGGTGGGATATAGGCCAGGACCCTGACCAGGGAGTACATCATGCCGCTGGGCAAGGCAGAACTACTATGTCTTGTCTGTCAGCCTCTGTCCCCCAAGATGATGTCTTGTCTGCTCCAGCCCCAGGCTGAGCTCAGGAATCTCCTGTCCTTGATGTGGCCAGGTCCTGCCTGAGACACCCATGTGTCCTCACTCTGCTGTCCCTTCTGGACCACTGCTTTGTCCTCTGGTCTCCATGCTGTAGAGCCTCTTCCTCTTTGTGACCCTGGGCAGGTGGCCGGAGGGGCTTAAAGGGAAAGTAAGGCCTGCTCAAAGTCAGCACCCTCACTTAAGGGGCCGTCCCAGAGTGGTTCTGAGGCCAGGAGGAATGTCCAGCCAACGTTGGTGTCTGCAAGCTTGGAAAGGTTGTTGTGGCTGTCCCACAGATAATCCCACTGGTGACTCCTCTGTGAGGGCAAAGGTGGTGCAGGTGGGAGCACAGCACCTCCATGGCCTGTATAAGCAGGGACCAGGTCTGCAGCCCTGTGCTGGCAGCAGGCTGGTCATGATGCAGCCCCAAACCATGACCAGCCAGCCCACTAATAGGGGCACTGGCCTTGCAGACGGTGCAGGATGGCCGGCAGTTTCTGAAATACATCGACCCCAGCCTGGGGGTCCCGCTACCCGAGAGGGATTATGGGGGAAACTGCCTCATCTACGACACGGACAACAAGACGGATCCCTTCCACAACGTCTGGGTGAGGGCCAGGCCCTGAGGCAGGTCCCTCTCTAGGTGCAGCCCTCAGCACCCCAAGGGCCGGTGCCCACACACGGGGATCTCCTCCTGCCCCAGGACTTACTCAGGGCCCTGTTCAGTGTAGATGGGCTCCCGGGGCACTGGCCCTCCTAGCTGTCGGTGTGTCACCTGCAAGGCCCAGGCAGCACCTGTGTGAGTCTCAGGCCTTATCCCCAGGTCTGGCACATGCTGCTCAGAGGTTCTGGGGTCCTTGCTGACCTACCAGCAGTGGGAGGAGGGGCTTGAGCAAGGGGGGCTGTACCCGAGGATCCGGCCCTGTCTTCCACAGGATAAGCTGGACGGCTTCGTTCCCGCGCACTTTCTTGGCTGGTACCTGAAGGTACGGCAGCCCCCTCTCCTAACCTGATCCCTTGGGCCTGCCTTGGGCTATAGATGGTTTCTGGCTACAGGGTTGACCCTCAGTGTGCACTGGGCGTGTGGTGGGCAGGTGAGTCTTGGCAGCCAGCACTTTGCCATCTCAGAGAGTCTTGGAAGCTGCTGGGAGTTGTGAATCCCTGCTCTGTCCTCAGCAATGAGGGGCCAGTTAGGGACTCCAGACAGGAGGGCAGGAAGTCCCAGCCTGGGCTTGGGCTCCCCTGGTCCCGCTGAGGGAGATGGCCTGGCACCACATGCGGGCAGCCCTCACATGGCAGATGGGCATGCGGCTGGCAGAGGTCACAAGCCCTCCCCAGAGCCCGATGTGCGTGCCTGTGGCGGGTTGTGTGTGCATGTCCCACGGCGGGCTGAGTGCGAGGAGCCCTGCGTGCCGCAGACGCTGATGATCCGGGACTGGTGGATGTGCATGATCGTGAGCGTGATGTTCGAGTGCCTGGAGTACAGCCTGGAGCACCAGCTGCCCAACTTCAGCGAGTGCTGGTGGGACCACGTAGGTGCCTGTGCCCCACCTCTGGCAGGAGGGATGGTGGGGTGGCCGGGGGCTCACGGGGGGCTTGTGCGCCCCCAGCTGTCAGGCCAGGCACCTTAATCTGGTGCTGGGGCATGGGGGTGTGCTCGCCTATTGCGATCCCCAGTGGATCATGGACGTGCTCGTCTGCAATGGGCTGGGCATCTACTGTGGCATGAAGACCCTCGAGTGGCTGTCCCTGAAGACCTACAAGTGGCAGGGCCTCTGGAACATTCCAACGTACAAGTACGTCTTGGGAGCTTCAGGAGGCCTGGGGGGGTGGAGGCTTCTGCTGCCCTGACTTGGTGGGCCCTCCCAAAGTCTCTGCTGTGTTGAATGGGCTGTCAGCCAGGCCCCCTCCCCTTTGGAGGCCCCTGCACCACCTGTCTCCTGGTCTCCTTACGATGATAGGTGTTCTGTCATCTTTACTTTGGGATTTGAAAGCAAAAGCAAAAGTCCAAGTCAAGTCCTGGGGCCATGCTGGGGTGGTCTCCCCTCCTGTTGGTGCCCATCTGCACCTGGGGATCACTGCACAGCCCTCTCAGAAGAGCTGGATCCACACTGGGAGGCTGAAAGGATTCTGATCAGGGGAGGCTGTGCAGGAGGGCCATGCTGGTGCCACCCCTTAGCTAGAGTGGCCTGGTGGGGGGCCTCAAGACCAGAGTAATCCGACATGCAGGGTGGGGTTTGGGAGGCCTCCATTCCCAGGCTGACAGCTCTGTGGTTCCCAGGGGCAAGATGAAGAGGATTGCCTTCCAGTTCACACCCTACAGCTGGGTCCGCTTTGAGTGGAAGCCTGCCTCCAGCCTGCGCCGCTGGCTGGCCGTGTGCGGCATCATCTTGGTGGTAAGGCCATTGCCTGCGGTCACGCGGCTATCTGGATGGCCAGAGCTGGGGCTCACGCTCTGCCACTCCCCAGTTTTTGCTGGCAGAGCTGAACACGTTCTACTTGAAGTTTGTGCTGTGGATGCCACCAGAGCACTGCCTGGTCCTCCTGCGGCTCGTCTTCTTCGTGAATGTGGGCGGCGTGGCCATGCGGGAGATCTATGACTTCATGGATGACCCGTGAGGGCCTCAGGCCAGGGGCAGGGGTACTGGGAGGAGGCTCAGAGGGCGGGAGGCAGGGCCTTGGTGGGTGTGGCCTTCCAGAGGGCCCTTGGGCCAGCTGCTGCCCTCCTCTGCAGGAAGCCCCACAAGAAGTTGGGCCAGCAGGCCTGGCTGGTGGCAGCCATCACCGTCACAGAGCTGCTTATTGTCGTGAAGTACGACCCCCACACACTCACCCTGTCCCTGCCCTTCTACATCTCCCAGTGCTGGACGCTTGGCTCCGTCCTGGTGCTCACCTGGACTGTCTGGCGCTTCTTCCTACGGTGAGTAGGATGTTCTCAAAGGAGGCCCCACCTGGCCAGGTGCCTTCCTGGCCCCTGGTTCTTGGCACAGGTGGGGGCAGTTGGTTCAGTTGGTATCTGAGTAGCTCCCAATGTACCAGCTTCCCGGGGATGGCCTGCCTGGGCCTCTCCCCACCTGCATCTCCCAGGGTTCACCTGAAGGACCTCCAGAGGGACGAAGGTGCCAGGCACTCATGGAGCCTGCACCGGCGTCTGGAGTCTGGCGTGGGAGCAGGTGTGACCCCGTGTCCCCACCCCTACCCCAGGGACATCACCCTGAGATATAAGGAGACCCGGCGGCAAAAGCAGCAGAGCCCAGGCAGCCAGGACAGAGCTGTTGGCAATGGGGACCAGCACCTGCCAGGGCTGGATGAAGACCTGCTGGGGCCTGGAGTGACTGAGGGGAAGCAGGTGCCCACTCCACACTGACTAGTGCGTTCACCCCTGGAGCCTCCCGGAACCCGAGCCCCCAGGAACTGTTGCTTGGCCTCACCTCAAGGTCTTATTTTCCTTTCTCCTGGGCACTCCACCCAGCAGGGATTGAAGAGGGATGAAGGAAGCCCCACCTGGCTTCGTCCCCATTTGTGCATGTGTGTATGTGTGTGTATAAACATGTACACACGGTGTACACGTATGTCCTTGGCTCCTGAGGCTTTTCCAGACCCATGAGCTGGTGGCATGGCCAGGGCAGCTGGTTCCTCTGGAGGGAGGGTCTCTGCTCCCTCCTGCCTGCTCAGCCCAGTGGCCTTGGGCCCGTTGGCCTCCCCATCACCCAGCCCTGGCATGGCATAGCCCTGGGCGCCTTGTACCCTTATCCCCCTTGGCCCCAGGTGCTTCAAGGTGGTCTGTCTGTGAAGGAGGCTTAGCCATACTCTGGCTCGAAGCACTGATCAGGTTTTCTCTGGTCTTCGTTTAATAGACTAACTTGTTGGTATGTGGGTGGGGTCAGAGATCACTGGATTGGCCCTTCCAGTTGCACTGAGTCAGAAACTCCAGGGGCCAGAGGACTGTAACTTGGTGCTGGGCTCATGCAGTCTCTGTGACTCCGAGTTTGGGTCATCCACATGAACAAACAGAACAAATAAAGTGGTGATGAAGGTCCTAAGCTTCCAGCCCTTCCTACTGTGTCTGAGAGCCCTGCAGAGTACAGGGAGCCTTAGCTTGGCCTCTGAGTGGGTGGGTATGCAGGACACAGCCCTCCTTCTGGGCTCACAGCTGCTCAGCCAGGAGGTTGGGCCTGGTGACCGCTGGGGTACTGGCCACAGGATTCCTGGAAGGGAATCTAGCTACCTTTTCAGGCTAGAAATCTTTTTTTTTTTTTTTTTGCAGTTTTTGGCCGGGGCCAGGTTTGAACCCTCCACCTCTAGTATATAGAGACAGCACTCTACTCCTTGAGCCACAGGCGCTGCCCTCAGGCTAGATTTTTAAAACCTTACCATGAAAACTTTTTTTTTTTTTTGAGGCAGTCTCACTGTGTCAACCTCAGTGGAGTGCTGTGGTATCACAGCTCACAGCAACCTCAAACTCTTGGGCTTAAGTGATTCTTTTGCCTCAGCCTCCAAGTAACTGGGACTACAGGCGCCTACCACAATGCCCAGCTATTCTTTTTGTTGTAATTGTCGTTATCAGGCTGGGCCTGGGTTTGAATCCTCCAGCCCTGGTGTAGGTGGCCAGCGCCCTAACCACTTAGCTATTGGCACTGAGCCAGACCATGAAAACTTTTAAACACATATGAAGTGGCAAATGTGCAGGCTGAAGATTTCAGCCCTCTATGTTGTGAGGCTGGAACACAGTGCCCACTGGGGAATTCCACCTGACACCTCTGAAAGAGGTCGTTCCTATGTAACTGCCCAGCCCATGCCAGCAAGTCCCTTCCCTTCCCAAGAGCCATCGGGGCAGCTCCCTATGGACTTTCCTTGAGTCCTATGTCACTGAGGCTTCTCTCCCAGGGCCTCCAGTTGTATACAGGCTAATGTCATGGCTGCCCTCCTGTCCCTTTGGAGCAGTTAGAGGTGCACTTCACATTGCTGTCCTTGTGAAAGCAGCTGTCATCTCCCCACTGCAGTCATCCTCCCTGGGCCTCCTTGGCTACTGTGGACCATCTGGGTGGAGCCTAGGTGGGTGGGAGGTGACACCTTGCTGGGGTCACTGCCTCTCATAATCCTCACTCCAACCCAGCTCTGGTTTCTGAGGCCACCGCCTGTGTGGCACTCACCCTGTGCATTTCTTGCCCGAGGCCTAGGGTCACCATTTCTCCAAGGAGCCCTGGTTCCTCTGCATAGAGCAGTGGTTCTCAACCTGTGGGTCACAACCCACAGGAACTGTATTAAAGGGTCGCAGTATTAGGAAGGTTGAGAACCACTGGCATAGGGGCTCATATTCAGAAATTGCTTTTGTGGGCACTTGAATGGCTTCACAGCAATGAACCTAAAGTTCCTGCCCACAGGTTACCTAGAGTAGTAACCCTCTTAACAGTCCAAATCGTCTGATTAGGCCAACTGGGCTTGAGGGTTAGGCCCCCATGCCCTGTCCACAGAGATGCAGAGCTAATGGGGGTTCTGGGCAAGAACATGGGCTGGGCTGGGCTGGGCTGGACTGGACCTGGCCCAGAGAGGAGGGTGGGGGCCAGCAGTGCAGAAGCCGAGTTGTAGGCCTGGCTAGGCCAAGGGTAGCTCCCAGCATAGCCATGGAGAGTCCTGCCACTGGTGGGCTGGTACACCCTGAGCTCCAGTATGGCAGAAGGTGGGCTTCAATATAGTGACAGAAGGGGTAAGAGCCCTGCTGACACTGGGTAGTGAACTGCCTCTGCCCTCAGGGGACTCCACAAGCATAGACAAGTACCATCCAGCTACCAAGTGCTTTAATGATTATAAAGTATCTAAAATTTTCTTGTAAAATAAGCTGTTTTGAGCGTTTCTCATTAGTCAAAGCTAGGACTCAGGGAGTGAGCCCCGGGAGAGCTGGTCAGCTCCAGAGGCGTGGACTGAGGCATTGTCCAGGGAGACCAAGTTTCAGGAGCCTGGTGGCCAAAAAGCACCTTAGGAGATGATCCTCAGGGACGGCTTGTCCTCCTCCAAGGCTCGCAGCTGGTTGTCCATCTCCTCAGACCAGTAGATGTCATACAGCCTATGTACAGGCAGCAAGGGGAGTGAGGTGGGTACCCCCATCCTGCCCGGTCTGCTTGAGCCCAGGCAGAGCTGGGTAGCTAGTGCATCCACTTACACCAGCTGCTCCAGGGCACATCCCGGCTGCCGGAGGCTCCCCATCAGCTGCCGGACACCCTCATCTCCCATGCGGTTGTTGCTGAGGTCCAGCTCTCGCAGGCTGTGGTTGGCCAGCAGTGTTGAGGCAAGGCTGCTACAGCCAACGTCACTCACATCACAGTCCCCCAGCCTGCAGGGGGTGGGGGTGGGGCAGGAGGCAGGGTGGAGGTCAGGACTGCAAGTGGATCTGGCATTGCACCAGCCAGCTGGGTGACCTAGACCTGTGTTGCTACCACGCCACAGGATAGTGATAGAGCCCACCCTCCCACGCTGTCAGGGGACCCTGAAATACACCTGCACCCTGGGTTGTTCCCAACTCCTCCTGCCTTGGTTCCTCTGCCCCAAGCACATCAAACCCCAGAACATGATGGGGAAAGAGATCTTTAAAAGCTGCCAGAGAGAAAATGCAGATTGGGTACAGGGGATGACAATGGGCTCAGAATCATAACAGCAAAGTTCTTCCCAGAGCCACTACAGATTGATCCCCTGCCAGGCCAGGGATCTGGATCGATTACGTGACCCAGGGCACTACAGAGGTAGATACAACTCAGACTCTAGTTAGTGCTAAGTGAACCCACGTGCACTTGCCCCCAAACGCACCAGAGAACCCGCAAGACAGTGCCAGGCTGGCCCAAGCCCTGGCACAGCGTCTGCACGCCCACGTCACCCAGTGGGTTGCTGCTCATCTGCAGCTCCAGGAGACACTTGTTCTGGGCCAGCACCGAGCTGAAGAGGGGGCAGCATGCGGCGGTGAGGCTGCAGGTCTTCACCCTGTAGACATACATGCTGGGCCCTGGCTGGGGCTGGTTCTGCCCCTGCTCCTGGGCCCCGCCTTGTAGGCCCAAGCTGGGTTTACCACGGTCCTTGCGCCCCGTGCCCTGTGCTGGGTTCACCATAGTCCCTGCGCCCCACCCCCTTCCTGGGCTCAGGGTCAGGGCTGGGCTCACCACAGTGACTCCAGCCGGCAGCCTGGAGCCAACAAGCTCTCGCACAGCAGCTGTGCGCCGGCGTCCCCCAGCTCGTTCCCCGCCAGGCTGAGCTCCCGCAAGCTCTCCAGGGAACACAACATGCGGCACAACTCGTGGCAGCCCTCGGCGGTGATGCCGCACTCCCACAGCCTAAGGAAGGTGACTGTGACGTTTTGCCCCGTCCTGGAACAGCCTCCCCGCCCGCTCAGGTGGCCACTCACCACAGAGTCCGGAGCCTGAAGCTGGGGCGCAGCAGACCCTGGCACAGCTCTGTGAGCCCCGCATCGCCCAACCTGTTGCTGCCCAGATCTAGTGCCTGCAGCGAGGTCTTGGAGGCTACAGCGCTGCACAAGTCTCTACAGTTAGCGGCTGTGACTCCGCAGTTCTCCAGCCTGAGAAGACATGACCCGCTTTGGGAGCTGTCCAGCCCTACCCTCTAGCCCTCACCGGGATTTCCCCAGCCTCGCCCTCGGCCTCGCCTACTTGAGCGCCTCCAGAGGGCAAGCAGAGTCTTTGAGGCCTTGACACAGCGTACGGACACCTGCTTCGCTGAGGTCGTTGTTGCTCACTATGAGCTCCTTGAAGTCCGGCTTGGCCCTGAGCACGGAGGCCAGGAACTCGCAGCTGGCAGCCGTGAGGTTACAGTACTCCAACCTAGGGGTGGGCAGGCCAATGCCTCGCATCAGGGAGAGTGAGGCCCAGAGACTCACCCCAGAGCTTCTGGTCAGGGACACGAGCACCCGGAGCCCATGTGGACACTGGAAGCCCTCCATTAACCAAGAGACCCACCTCGAGCTCTAAGACCTAGGAGAAGCTAGATGCTCGGCTGTGGTCAGTTTGTGGTGGCTGGGCTACCCCACACCTAGGGTGCTGAGCCACACTTGACTTAGCTAGGCTTGTTCCCTGCCATTGGGTCCAGAACTGCTGCTAGCACCTTGCAAAGTTAGCTGAGTGGGGAGGCAGGAGGGCATAGCAAAGCCACAGAAGTCCCCTCCTGAAAGCTCCTGCAGCCAGTGTACTGTGGATGGGGCAGCAGGGAAGTAGGCGGGGCAGGGCACACACTCACTGCAGCTTTTCAAGGTGGCACTGGGGGTTCAGCAGTCCCTCACAGAGCAGCTTCAGGCCGGCATCTCCCAAGGGGTTGTCACTGAGGTGCAGCTCTCGCAGGCTCGGCACCGAGCGCAGCATGCTGGGCAGGACCCCACAGCCTGCCTCTGTTAGGCAGCAGTTCTGCAGGCTGGCAACATGGTCATCAGCGCCTTCTCAGGGCTGAGCAGGGGGCCCCCCAGGGGAGCTGTGCTGCAAAGCCCTCTGCAGCAGGGATGGTGGTGATACTATGACCCCAGGGGTGGCAGCACTGAAGCTGGATTGCCTAAAGCCACCACCTGCCCACCCACAGCCACCACAAGCACAGGTGGGTCTCTGGGCACCCTGTGGCCCCACAGTAGAACCTCACCTCAGTTTCTGGATTGTGCAGGTGGGGCCCTGCAGCGCCTGAAGCACCAGCCGCACACCGGCATCACCCAGCTCGTTCGTGCGCAGGTCGAGCTCCGTCAGGGCAGGATTGGCCCGTAGTGCAGAGCTCATGTCTTGACAGCGCACCTCCGTGAGGCCACAGTCATCCAGTCTGTGTGTAGGACCCTCAGAGTTACTGTCCATCTGGCACCAACCTCAGACTCAAAGACCACACCACACAGCATGGTGTGGTCCATTAGTAGTCCAAGAAATCAACAACGTAGGTCACATCAGGGCACTTCAAAAATGAAACCCAAAAAAACAGGTGGAAATGTTTTTTACAGAACTGTGTAAGAGACTCAAAACGTGTAGTGGTGTGTCTGCAGCATAATAAATTCTCCATGTCTTTCTATGGGGCACAGAGCATGAAAGCTCCTGGGCTGTCTAGGGAGAAATCAAATCTGTATGAGGTAACAACTCCAGAGAAGTGCTTGGGATGGTCAGCACATGGTCAGACACGGGAGCCAATTGGAGAGCCTCCTGGCAGTCAGAGCTGCAACATGTGACCAAGAATAAACAATGATGCGAGATTATAACAAAGCCAAAAATATCTTCAAGTCATCTAGAGTAAATGAATGAGTAAGGTGGGAAAAAAGCCAGTTCTTGCTCACAAAAGGACAACTGATAAATATGGAGGGCATGATGAAGATGCAACACCACACTAATAACTTCAAGCACAGCTACTGATGTTGCTGAAACCGGCAGGCAAACGTCTGAGCAGAAACAGGTATTAGCAGAACCCCAAACTATCTCCCCAGGACACTGATCAAGGATAGTCCAAATGGTGCCACCATACACTGACAGTACCACATGCCAGGCAGGACCCATTAGCATTCTGTGTATTCCTGTTGAAAATGTGACTTAAACTATAAAAAACCCCAGACAAGTCCAAACAGAGGGACATCCACAGGAGCCTGGCCAGACTCACAGATATCAGAGCCCCAGGGACAAGGTGAGACAGGAGGACCAAACAGGGATCTTGAACCAATCAGGAGCAGGGTAAGGACAAGAATGTGGTGGAAAAGCCTAGAGCTGGGCGTGCCACTTTGGCCCAGCTGATGTCAGACAGTCTCCTTAAGGGAAGCTGGTAAGGGTGTGCAGAAGCCCTGCGCTACCTTCGAAACTCTTCTGCAAATCTTCACCTATTTCAAATAACATGTTAAAGACGAGGACCACACAGCCACCTGTCTCATTGCTGAGAACTCAGAACAGAGGCCTGTCTGGCCTGGAGGGCCAGGCAGCACCTCCACAGAGGCCTGAGCCTAGTCCTGCCCCCATGTTCCCAAAAAGAAGAGCTGAGTTCATAGGCCCAGAGACCCACCAGCCAGCCCCACCACATCCTCAAAATAGGTTTTACATTTCTAAATGGCTAGGAAAAGCACAGGAATAAGGTACCATTTCATGCCACATGAAATGTATGTGAAATTCATGTTTCATGTCCATAAATAATGTCTCTGAGCACAGCCCCCATGTGTGCCCCAGTGGTCTGGCTGCCAAGCACAAACCACTGCCTGAGAGCCTGGCCCACCAGCACCCACAAGGTGACCCTGAGGGCATCTGTACCTGACCACTTGGCACTGCTGGATCAGCGGGAGGAGTTCTGTCCACCTGGTGTCACTCAGCTGTTCACACTGGATATCGAGACTCATGGTGGAGCTAAGATGTAGCCTAAGTCAGAGAGAACATCTCAGACAAATTCTCCAGGTCTGGCAGGGGGTTTTTCCAGAGGGGGAAAAAGGCCCAAATAGGACCCTAAGGGGGTTGATGCTTCTGGAGAGCCATAGCCTCTCTCTTGGGAGGTGTCTGCCCTGCCCTGTGCCTGCAGCACTTTCCTCACTCTGCCTCCACAAGCAGACATGGGGGGTGGGGGAGGCAAAGGCTGTGCCACCAGCTCCCCTGGCAAAGGCCACTATAGGCAGCAGGGACTGGGGACATGGATGTGGGGCACAGATGCCTCACCTCCCAGCCACCTGTCCTCAGTGGACACCTCTTGCCAAAGAGAAGCTGGGGACAGCAAATCTGGTCCAGGAAGTCCCTGCCTCTTATTTGCCCGGGCAAGGACAGGGTGGGACCAGGGTGGTCCACAGGTCTGGAGACCCCAGTGGCACAGGGGCTATGGAAACCTTCCTGTCTGTTTGGCCTGGATCTTGCTCTGAGGCAGAAGGATCAGGCTGGCACTTGGCCAGAGTGCCAACAAAGCCCAAGACCAGGATCCTAGGCTTTAGGAGCCTGGCCTCATGACCCCCTTTGGGACTGGGGACATCCTATCCCACCCTGGCCAGCCCCAGAGAAGCCAGCTGTAAGGCAGATTGGATCACAGACCCTGAAATATCACCAGGGACAACCTTGGGGCCTGGATGATGGAGGTGGCACTGACTGCAAAGATGTCCCTGAGGCCTCTGGCCATGGGAAGGGACATCATGAGAGCCCCATGGGATGGCCCCCCATAACCCCCCAGCACATGCTGCTGGTGGGTGAACACGTTCCCCAGCAACCACCAAGCAGTGGCCTGGGGTCAAGGACTGGGCAGGACTCACTCCAGGGTGGAGGGCCGGCAGGAAACCCGGGGAGTTGCACTGGGACAGCCAGAGACAGCTCCCTGGGAAGAGCTACCCGTGGCGCTGACGGGGGCAGGGCAGCCGGGAGGGACATGATTTCAGAGGACGTTCTTCTGATGCTGTTTGTCTGGGCCTAGGCCTTGCCCCAGGGGCATCCCCACTCCCTTCCCAGGTTTGATTAGGCTGATAGAGACAGTGGCCAACCTACTCTGGCCGCGCGGATGAAGGGAAGACCTACTCTCGTGGGTCTGCAGGGGACCCTTGCCCACAGGCACGGGGAGCGTCAGCTCGGCCCAAAGCACGTGAACAGAACCGGGCCTGCCCGAAGGCGGCCTAGGGGCCAGGGTGTGGTCACCCAAAGTGACTCGAATTCACAGGAATTCCGTCATCTCTAGATGACGTGGGGGTGAGAAGAGACAGAGGGGCCCAAGGCCCCGCGGACGCTAACTCATACACTTCCCCACGGGAGGCCCAGCCCCGTCGGGCCTAGGCTCCACCGGAGCCTGCCGCGCCCCTTGCTAGGGCTGGGGACCGGGAAGGTGCCTCTTAGCGCCTCCGGTTGTATGAGCCGAAGCGGTAGCCGTGACGACCTGCTATCGCACAGACGCGTGGGGGCGACCCCGCCAGAGGCCACACCAGTGCCGGGTTACAGCGCGGCCGGCGCTCCCCAGGTTCGTCCTTCGGCGCGTGCAGCGCGACCCCCGCCACAGCGACCCGAGTCTGGGAAACAATGGTCATGCGCGCCCCTTCCGGCTCCGTGAGCCCGTCCGCCCCCTACACGCACCTGCGTCAGACACAGACACGGGCACCGACACGCACTCGCACCGCAGACCAAGGCCGCCGCCGCCGCCGCCGCCGCGCTCCTTCCGCCCAGGCCGGGGGAGGGGTCAGAGAGGCAAGGGGGAGGCGGGGCTCCGGGTGGGGTCAGAGTTCCAGGCAGGGGCGGGCTGCCGGCCGGAGTCCCACCCTGGCGGAGGTCCCACCCTCGGCGGGAACCACGTCTGTCTCCTCTTACCAGCAGGCGGGACTCACCTGAAACACCCCTTTTTGCCGCCATACTGGAAAAGATGGAAAGGTCGACTATAATTTGTTGTGGCTGAGGCGAAATGGGCGAGACAGTGATGAGGCTTTTTAGAGATCAATTTGGCAGGTGTAAAACATGTACACAAGGCTCTGCTCCTATGTATCAGTGAAGGGAAACTTCCGTGCGCGAGCTCAGGAGACACGTTCAAAAATGTCTTGTGCAGCATTTCGTAACTATCCAAACCTGGAAACAATCCAAACATCTATCAGTAGTAAAATTGTTTAAAACAACAGACCATACTTTACTAGTTAAAAAGACTACTACTAAGGCTGGGCATCGTGTCTCACACCTGTAATCTCTGCACACTGGGAGGCCGAGGTGGGTGGATTGCCCGAGCTCAAGAGTTTGAGACCAGCCTGAGCAAGAGGGAGACCTTCTCTCTAAAAATAGCCAGGCATTGTGATGGGCGCCTGTAGTCCCAGCTACTCGGGAGGCTGAGGCAAGAGAATCACTTGAGCCCAAGAATTTGAGGTTGCCACAGCACTCTACTGAGAGGGACAAAGTGAGACTGTTTTAAAAAAAAATAAACAAGACTACTGCTAAGGAAAGATCTCCAAGGGGAGGCTGTTAAGTTTTTTTTACACGTGCAGAGCAAGTCTTATATTAGACTTTCTGTTTGGAAGAGCTTAGGTGGGTTGCAGAGTTCAGCATCTCCATCACTTTGCAGGCCATGTCCTCTGATGCGCCCAGCCCTGCTGCACACACAGGCCCAGGCTACATATTTGTTCAAGGTGTTTTACAACACAGGTATCCCTGTGTCCCCACTGCACCAGCACTCAGCCATTCAGCCGATGTTTACTGGACACCTGCTGTGTGCCAGGCAGTGTCGGAGCAAAACAGGGCACAGGTGTCACCCCCAGGAGCTCACAGTTAAGGAGAGGAATGTACAGAATTAAAGTGGGAGTAGGAGAAATTACTGCAGGGTAAAGAGAACCAAGGGTGCTGGTGTGGCAGAGTGAGGTAAGGTCCCGTGGTGGGGCAGGCCAGGAGCTAGTGGATAGGGAAAGGGCTGGAGAGTTGTTGGGGATACTGCATCCAGTGCTCACTAAGCCCTAGCCTAGTCTTCATAACTGGAGCCAGGAGCTGACCAGGGCCTGGGGGGTCAGTTCTTTTGAGTTATAAGCTGAAGGGTTACTCAATATTGCGAAGAAAATTTGGCTGGGCTAGCCCTTGCTTGTTGCCCTAGTTTGGGGAAAAGGGAGAGGGGATCACCAACTCAAGGTGCAGGGTTCAAGGAGAGCTGGTAACTGGGCAGGGGCAGTCCACACAGGTACAGACAACCTAAGGAACTGCAGGCCAAGGGTGTGTCCAGCACCTGGGAAGGTGGTCAGGACAAATCGCAGAGGGAAGGCAGCATGTGCTTCCTCCACCCTGATGCAGGAAAAGCGGGGGTTACTGTATTCTGGGGAAGAGTAAGAGCAGGGGCAAGGGATGGAAGAGCCTCTGTGTGCACTGGAGCCCCAGCCTACCTTTCTTTCTTGCCCAGGTTGGAGCGTAGTGGTAGGATCATTGTTCACTGTAACCTCAAACTCCTAGAGTCAAGCAATCATCCTGCCTCAGCCTCCCAAAGGTCTAGGAGTACAGGTGTGCCCCACTTCAATATGGTTTTATCACACAAGCAAAGTATGTGCTCCTTGTACAAAAAATCATAAGACAGATATGAGAAAATGAAAAGCTGGCTTGGCGCCCATAGCTCAGCGAGTACAGTGTCAGTCACATATATTGAAGCTGGTGGGTTCGAGCCCTGCCTGGGCCTGCTAAACAACAATGACAACTACAACCAAAAAATAGTCGGGTGTTGTGGCAGGCGCCTATAGTCTCAGCTACTGGGGAGGCTGAGGCAAGATAATCACTTAAGCTTAGGAATTTGAGGTTGCTGTGAGCTGTGACAGCACAGCACTCTATCAAGGGTGACATAGTGAGACTCGGTCTCAAAAAAAAAAAGAAAGAAAGAAAGAAAGAAAGAAACAAAGAAAAGAAAAGAAAATGAAAAGCTCTTGAATCCCCATCTTCCAGAAACACCACTCTGACCTTTGTGTGTGTGCCACTGTAGCTGGAATTTCTGTCAAATCCTTAGTTTTAGGGATTTGAAGAATGAATCCACAGACCATGTAGATAAGCAAAAGGACAGATTTTAATTAAAGGTAAGAGACAGATAAGCAAAAGAGGGGCACTGAACCTCCAGTGGGGGGACTGAGGAGCAAGTGGGCAGCCCACTAGAGCCTTCTGTCTAGGGTTCATATACTGCTTTTCCTCTCCTGAAGGCAGGGGGTTTTGGGGACATGGAATGTATGTCTGGCATATGTCACAACCATTTGTCACCAGGGGCTTGGGCAGAAATTAGTTTTCAAAATTGCTATGGTGCAGAGGAATATGATCCCCCTGAAGCATGCATCTCTGCTCTAGGAGAAGCATCATACACAAGATGTTCCCCAGGCTGCTTTTTATGAGCTTGTTTGTCCAGAGAATTCAGCCTGCAAAGAATCTGTGCTTAGAGATGGGGTCCCAGCCTGAGATTGATGGCTGAGCTAACCCAGGTCTAAAGAAAATGGGAGATGGGTATCTCTGTCCAGCCCCAAGAAGGGAACCCTTATTGTCTCTATACCTTGTCTGTGCACAACACACATTTTAAAAAATAAAAATGGTACATTAGATATGGCAGAAGGTGTCCTGGTCCTGATCTCCCAAATTACCTTACGTATGGGAAAATAAAAATCTCAGAACCACTCCCTAAGTCCTTACCCACAAAGGAATGTCAAGCCTGGAGCGTGAGTCTTTTTTTTTTTTTTTTTTTGAGACAGAGCC